GCCTTCCAAGTAGCTGGAATTACAGGCATGCGCTACCACGCCTGGCTGATTTTTTTGATTTATTGCAGAGATGAGGTCTTGCCGCCCAGGTGGGTCTCGAACCCGTGGGCTCAGGCAATCCACTCACTTCAGCCTCCCAAAGGCGTGGGATTACAGGCTGAGCCACCAAGCCCAGCTTAAATTTTTTTTAAAAAAATACATTGAGGTCGGGCTTGGTGGCTCAGCCTGTAATCCCGGCACTTAGGGAGGCTGCGAAGAGTAGGTTGTCTGAGCCCATGGGTTCGAGATCAGCCTGAACAACTTGGTGAGACCATGTATCTACAAAAAATAAAAAATTTACCAGGCGTGGTAGTGTGCACCTGTAGTTCCGGCTTCTTGATAAGGCTGAGGCAGAAGGATTACCAGAGCCCAGCAGGTTGACGCTGGAGTGGCCGTGAGTGTGCATGCCACTGCAGTTCAGCAGCCTGAATGATGGAGTGAGACTCCTACTCAATAAAAACCCAAAAAACATGTTTTGGCCGGGCGCTGTGGTTCATGCCTATAATCCCAGCACTTTGGGAGGCCAAAGTAAGAGAGAGAACTGTCTAAGCCCATGGGTTTGAGACCAGCCTGGGAAACCTGGAGAGACCTCATCTCTATAATAAATCAAAAAATTAGGTGGACGTGGTGGCACGTGCCTGTAGTTCCAGCTACTTGGAAGGTTGAGGCAGAAGGATTGCCTAAGCCCAGCAAGTAAAGGCTGTGGTGGTCGTGAGCATGCCACTACACTCCAGCCTGGGCGACAGAGTGAGACTCCAACTCGGGGAAAGAAAAAACAAACAACATACATTGTTTTAATAAAGTAAGAATAAACTAATATAAAAAAACTTCAAACCCCTCTTCTTTCCTGGAAGGAACATAAAAACAACAATAAACGTGATTTGTTTTCTGCTCAATAGAGAATATTTTTGTCCCAAGCTTTGAAAGACAATCTCCCACTCCTTGATAAAGCAAGAGGTATTTGTTTACTCTATAGTCAAGATAATCCAATACTTGCCTCTGAATTGATGGCAACTGAAGTTTAAATCTGTTTATTGTAGTAGAAAACTTAAGGAGAAGAAAATTACCTTTTCCGGTTGTGTAAAAAACTTCATTGGGAGGACTGGCTCCTTTGGAGAGTCTGCATTGCACATAGCGCTTTTACTATTTATAACACACAGAGCCACATCACAAACTGTATAAAGTTTCTAGGGGGAAAAAAGATACATTAGAGCTAAAAGAAGGATTTGTGGTTATTTAGTCCTTCAACATTTCATAGGTTTGTCCAGTAGTGCTGATGTAGCCTCCTGGTGAAGAAAATAAACCCACACTCTTAGTTTAACAGAACGCTAAGTACACATTAAAAGTAACAACCAAACCAAACCAAAAAAGCACACAAAAGGATAGCTATTTAAAAAAAAAAAGGATCTCTATTATCTGAATCTTCATAGAACAATTTCATTCTTATCATTCTGCTCTACAGAAGTCTTAAAATCTTTTTCAGGGCATTACGGATGATCAAAAGCACAAAATTCACATGTAATGAAATGCAATAAAAGCTGACTATAAATATACTTCCATAAACATTCTGTCATATAAATTCTTAAGTTATGGCTAGAACCGAAGTATTATCTCAAGTGAGATAAGACTTTTCCATACATTAACAGCCACGGGCCCAACCCTCGGCTCACTTCATTAGTTTTGGGCTCATCAGGAGACTGGGCATCTCGGGTGAGCTTGATGTTCTCTGCCATTTTCTTCATAAAGGCATGACTGTTGTTTTCATTCTTCGTCATTAAAACTTCAAGCATGAACCACAGGCACCTACAGGGTAAACACACCACAGAGTTTAGATGTAGGTGCTTGAAGGAACGCATCTGTTGCTGGGAAGTTCTGCTGCTTGAATGTAATAAAATAAAATATAAAGACAACTCTAATTACTAGCAGAAATATAGTTCCAGTTAATGTCTATTCAAATGGAAAGTTAAATCACAAAGGAACATCTTAAAAATGGAAATGTAGCCAGACGCGGTAGCTCATGCCTGTAGACCCAGCACTTTGGAAGGGGGAGACAAGAGGATTGTCTGAGCTCAGGGATTTGATACCATCCTGGGCAACTCGGTGAGACCTCATCTCTACAATAAATTAAAAAATTAGCAGTGCGTGGTGGCACGCGCCTGTGGTTCCAGCTGCTTGGGAAGCGGAGGCAGAAGGATCTCCTGAGTTCAGCAGATTGGGGCTGCAGTGGCTGTGAGCATGCCACTGCACTCCAGCCTGGGAAACAGAGTGAGATTCCTACAAACACAAACACACACACACACACGAAATGTAGCTTAACAGGACAGTTTCCTGAAGCTCATACAGATTCATCCTTGCATGTATTCAACAGAGATGATTCAACATGTCTGAACACCTGGTAAAATAATGAGCAAAATCAACATGTAGAAATCTTCACATTTTAACTCACTGTAAGTTCTACAAGAGGTGTACAATTGGGATGTAGTTCTGCTGAGATACAAGCACCAATTGTATCTGAGGCTGATGTGTATGGTACCCAGCTACTCAGCTAAGCAGCTATTTCTCCAACCATTTTTACTGTTTTCCATTTGCCACTATGTATTTAATGAACCAAGTATCTGAAGAGAACAACTGAATTTCTAAAAGTAAAGGCAAATCCCAAATAAGGCTGAACATTAGAATCATTTGGAGGAACTTAAACAGACAAATGTGGGTGTGGGGACTGTTTTTAACAAGATCCCAGGATAAATCTCAGTTATTTACAGGAGTACTGTTTTACTATATGATGGGATAAATTGATGATATGCTATGCTATTTGCCTATATTCCATGTGAACTTTTTTTTTGAGTCAGAGTCTCACTGTCACCCAGGCTGGAGTACAGTGACATGCTCACAGCCATCACAACCTCAACCTGCAGGGCTCAGGTGATCCTCTTGCTTTAGCCTTCTAAGTAGCAGGAACTACAGACAATAACTAATTTTTTATTTTTTGATTTACTGCAGATTATGAGGTCTTGCCAAGTTGCCCAGGCTATTCTCGGACCTTGGGCTCCGGCAATCCTCTTGCCTTAGTCACCCAAAGGGCTGGGATCATAGGCATGAGCCACCGCACCCAGTGAAAATGTTCTAAGAGACTAATGTATGGGGGCATTAGGCTTTTAGCTTAATAGCGCAATGAAAGTTGGCAATTTCAGTAACAGTTATTAACTTTGGCAAAGCATTAGCTCTAGTTAGATACTAGATAGTTGTTAAAATCCTGGATGATCAAATAAAGGAAAATAAGAAATTGCAATCAATATGAATATAAAAAGTTAACACTTAATGAGTGTTTACCATCTATCAGGCATTAGGCTAAGCACTTTATCCTCATTTACTATCTCATAAATCTGTAACAAGTATGTAAAATCATCCCCATTTTACAGATTAAGCAGCTTTTCTAAGTTTTTTTAGACGGGTTAAGTAACCTGTTTAGAGTCACAGAGATTAAAAGGTGGCAACAATTAAAACCAGGTCTGGTTTTTATACTTTAAAGAAAAATACACAAGCTGGGCTCGGTGGCTCAGCCTGTAATCCTGCGCCTTTGGGAGGCTGAGGTGAGCGGACCGCCTGAGCCCGTGGGTTTGAGACCTGCCTGGGCAACTTGGCGAGACCTCATCTCTACAATAAATCAAAAATGAGCTGGACGTGGTAGCACGCGCCTGTAGTTCCAGCTACTTAGAAGGCTGAGGCGGAAGGATCGTCGGAGCCCAGCAGGTCAAGGCTGCGGTGGCCGGGAGCGGCCACTGCACTCCAGTCTGGGTGACAGAGTGAGACTCCAACTCAAAAAAAAAAGAAAAATACACAAAATAAATATAATAAACAGTATTTGAGCAACTATGTGCTAGACACAGGTGGCAACACTGGACTTATGGACTGTAGAGGGTGAAGGATCTGTTTATTAAAATACTGAAATCATTTCATTAATTCTTTAGGTTCAGAACTCTACTGCGTTTCTAGTTAACTTTAAGATTTGGTCAACCCCGTTACGAAGAACTATAGGATAAGAATAACTCTCATTTACAGGGGAGAGGTGAGGAAGCATTCTCATTGCAGAGCACTAGACTAATTTCTGTGAAAAGTTTTAACAAAAAACTTTGTAGTAACATTTTTGAAAGTAATATATATTATAAATATTATATGTGCCTACATATTATAATATTTATATATAATAAAATATATAATACTTATTAACACTTAACATGTGCCAACATAACATAGACTTTATTTCTTGAAGTATCTGAATCATGATAATATTGTGGTGAGAATCCTAATTCAACATTTTAATTAAAAAAAAATTGTATTTATTTACAGATAGAGTCTCACTCTCTAACCCAGGCTGGAGTACAGAGGCACCATCACAGGTCACGGCAGGCTCAAACTCCTAGGCTGAAGTGAAGTAGCTGGGATTACAGGTGGAAGCCACCATGTCTGGCTCATCTTAATTGTATGCAAAAATGCTAAGACTAAGTGGTATCTGTCAATAAGAGATCTTGTAGTGGCACTATCACTGCTCATTGCAGCGTTGACATTCTGGGCTAAGTCTATCCTTTTGCCTCACCCCACTAAGTAGCTGGGACTACAGGCCCAAGCCACCATGCCCAGATAATTATTTTATTTTTGTAGAGAGGAGATCTTGCTATGTTGCCCTGGGTGGTCCTGAGCTCCAGGGCTCAGGCCATCCTCCATCCTTGTTCCCCAAAGTGCTGGGATTACAGGCAGGAGCCTCAACAAGCCTATATACAGGGATTTCTATGATATGTGGTGCTTCTTCTTGCCTTATCCAACAGAACTAATTCCTCTCCATCCCAAGTCTTTTCACTGAGCTTTCTGGAACACACTTTAACTGAAGCCGTACCTCCCCCATCCCCTGCCAAGCATACTTGCCTTGCATCCCCTGAAGTTACAGCCACTCATTTGGTCCAGTCACTCTTCCACAATCATAAAAATTATTCCTAAGAAGCCGTGTACCACTTCGTCACTTCTACCAACCTCTTTCTACCAATGTCACTTCTCAGCCTCTCTGTGTTCTTTGCATTCATTTAGTTTCTGGATTACAATTTCTCTGAACTTCATCTTTATGTTCTGCCATTTTTCTGGACAGCCTATCCAACCCTTTATTTCCTACCTCCTTGGCTGCTTCATTTCTTGTAATGCTTCATTTCTTGGCTTAAAAGCATCTCTCCCCCACAGACATTCCTAGACCTTGCCAACTCTTAGAAGTGGTCTACCTGTGAAACTATATATTCAAATATCCCATTCTTTGGATACCCCCCTTTTTGTCAGTTTCCTTTCAAATATTTATACTATAAAGCTGTGTTCTCTGACCTTGTGGGTACAACAAGGTCGTTAGGCTTGCTGATTTTCTAACCCTATCCTCATTGCTCTATATTCTTCCACCTTCACTTCATTTCCTTTCTAGTTTGTAAATTCCATGAGCCAAATTTGTAATTAGTATTTTGAAAAAAGTCTCAGGCCAAGCACAGTGGCTCATGCCTATAATTCTAGCACTTTTAGAGGCCAAGAGTTCAAGATCAGCCTGGGAAACAGGGAGATATTGTTTCTTTCTCAAAAACAAACAAACAAAATCAAACAATTAGCAGGATGTGGTGATGAGCACCTGTAGTCCCAGCCACCAGGGAGGCTAAGGCAGAAGGATTGTGTAATCCCAGGAAGTTGAGGCTGTGGCGAGTCATTATTTTGCCACTAGACTCCAGCCTGGGCAACAGAGTGAGACCCTGACTCAAAACAAAAACAAAAACCCAACAACAACAGAAACAAACAAACACACAACCAAAACTCTGAAAACAAAGTCTCAACTCCCTTACCAATTTTCCTTCTGGTACACGTGCTTTGAAAAACCCAAGAACAATCTAAGTCTTACACATCTTAGCAGCCTCATTGAAAATGTATACTGCTAGAGAAATATCATGCAGCTGAGAAGCTTGATGTAATTATAATTTAAGATTTTTTAAAATATAGTTCTTCACAGCAGCTGTTTTAGATCTTTATTCTACTCAAATCTAATTCTACCACCCTAACCCACCAGCCAAGGTCCAGCACCATTGTTATATGAAAACAACAGTCATTAGATAAGTCAACTTCTAGATACCAATCTTGGATAATTATTTTTATTCCCAAGCCTTCCCTTTGTCTCTTCCTAGGATACCACCCATTTCTCCTTTTGAAGACCTCACCTTGACTTATGACCATCACTGTTTCCTTTACACCCTTCCCTTTGTCTCTCCTTAGGGTACCACCCACTCTTCCTTCTGAAGACCTCACCTTGCTTTATTACCATCATTGTTTCCTTTACACATAATCATACCCCATCCCCTGCCTCCTTGCTAGAGACTTAATATTGCTTTGTTCCTTCCCTAGTCACAGCCAACTTTTCAAAAAAAGATTTGTCCACATGATTTCTATTCCGTACCCTTTGGTAATTTGGCTTTCACCTGCATTGTTTCATTGCAGCTGCCCCTGCTAAGGTTACCAGAGAGTGTTCTGTAACTCAATTCAATCGGCAGTTATCTTTATTTGTAAAATGATAACAGTAATTATCCCAGGAAGTGTTGAGGGTTAAACAAGATAATATTTGTAGTATACGTGACAAGTAATAAAAAGTCAATAAATGTTGGCTGGTTACTGACCATTTCTTTTCCCTTGACATATATATATTTTTTGAGTTGGAGTCTCACTCTGTCACCCAGACTGGAGTGCAGTGGGATGCTCCCGGCCACCGCAGCCTCTACCTGCTGGGCTCCAGAGAT